TCTTTCCCTCCTCCTCCTCCTCCTGACTTCAGCATTTTACTTCTGGCAGTTATGCACATACCTGGGTGATCCTGCTGTGCCCCATGTGGAAATAGAACCAGAATGCTGCTTAAGTGCCAGGAATTGCACTTATGCAGCTGTATAAGTGCCACTTAGCTGGGTACGGGTGAAATGTGTTCAGCATATATTTTGAAGAGGATTATGGTCATAAAGACGAAGCAACAAAAATAAATAAGCACTGGGAGTTTGAGAGAGTTATTTATAATACAAAAGAATAATATAGTTTCACAATGAAGCATAAAATGATAAACAGAAATCTTGTCTTCCTCAGAAAAAGTTTATAATGATGTTTATACTGATTCAGTTCAACAGAACTGTACTTACTTTAGTTTCCTTTCATATGTTTTCTTATTAAATATAAGAACTATATGTGATGACTTTTTACTTGTATGCTTAGTTGATGTCAATAAAATTGCTCGTGTGTTCAAATGTAAGTAAATAAGGGATCCAGGTCAGTTCTAGGTCAGAATATGCAGCAATTGTAGGATAAGGATGTTAGCTTTTCAGACTGTCCCTTTAATATTAAATTGTGTGCTGCCTCGGACAACAAGGTTCCAATTTTTGGTTGGTGCATCTCGGACTTATTACTATTATTATCCACTACTAAAAATAAGGTAAAAATTTAAAAAGACATGTGCAAGCATGCCTACACGCATGTGCACACACATGCACATCCTTATATATGCATAGTCTACTATGTGTAGTGTGTATAGTATTGTGTATATCATGTGTGTAGTATACCATATATTAAGGAGAGGCCAAAGTCCTCTTTCACTTTACATGCCTAAATAGAGAGATGGCAGTTACATAGTTTGTAATCCAGCTGTGGGCATGCAAGAACACACATGCCCACTGAATATGCTCAGTAAAGCTTCACTCTGGCTGTGCAGCTGCACAGTAAAATAGGATTGTCCTGAAATTTTAGTTAGGCAAACCCACAACCAGTGGGTGTTACATGTGAGAGGAAGAGGAGGACCCCACCACACTTTAGCTCAATAGCTCAGTGTAAACACTGAGGGGGGGTTGAACCTACATCTTCTTCCCAGCAATGTGCTCTAATCGGAGGTAGCCAAGAGAAGGAGATTGTGGGGGCAGAAGGAAGGGAACAAGCCATAGAATGTGTGACCGCTCTGGGCTATGGGTCCTAGCCTGGGCCCTTGCTCTCAATGGGCCCTTGCTGTTAATGGGGCAGAAACTTTCCTAGTGTTGCTTATCCAATGAATATTAAATGCAAGTTTCA